TCAAGTATTCTTCCTGTCGTACTGAAGGCTTGTTCGGATGAAACAGTGGAAACTGGGATAAAAAATATATCCATTGCCAATCGAGTTAGGATAGGCCAAGTTAATGCCCGTGCCCTCCACCATTGAACTAAGTCAAACGGTTCTGCCGTACCGCCGACTACTAAGCCTTCACTGAGGTACGCCATAAGCTCGTTGAAGCTGCCGCCGCCACTGCCACTGCCACTTGTTGATGAAGATTCACTCACAGCTTCTGTTTGAGTTGTCTTCTTCTTCTTCTTCAACCCGAAAACATTCAAGAATGAATGCGAGTTATCGTCTTGTTGTTGCAGTTCCTGTACTCTATGAGGTACTCTAAACCTAATCTCATATTTACTCTAGATCGAATATATTTTTTCCTTTATTATTGGATATTGGTCATTATAATTGATGCCTAAAAAATCACCTAAGTTTTCTAAACCACTTTCTAAACCTTCTAATTTTAATCTAGGATAAAAAATAGTACCTAAATCATACAACAAAGACAACTTAGACCAATATTTTATAAATTTCTTTTCTATAGAATGGATAGGAACTGTTAAAATTGGGTCATCCTTATATTCGCTAAATAAAATACTAATTCGTAAAAGTTCTCATAAAACTAAAGGTGATGTTGGGTAATATGTTTCACTAAGTTTTAGAGTCACTTCATGAAACCTACCTAAAAATTGATACAAAACTTCGACAATTTGCCAATCATATGCGTCTATATGTCCTACTCGTACTTTTGTACACATATAGTTTGTTATAGCATCCTTATAGGGGATGCATTGTTAAAGCATTATGTAAGTTGAGTTCCATCTTATAGGCATATCTAACGCTAATGCTCTAAGAGGTATATTTAATGTTTGTAAGAACCTAAACCAATATTCTTGTCTTTGGTTACTACCTGAAATCCATGCAAGACTATCTCTAATTCTTTTAATGTGATTACTCATTTCTTTTAAACCGGATTTAACAATTAAATTAATAACGTGACATGCACAACGTTGGTGAAAAATAGTACCATCACTGAATAAACTTAAATCATTTTCAAAGAACTCAATTGCTTTTGTATTGGCACTAGCATTATCTAATATTATAGCCATTACTTTATCTCTGAATCTAAATTCATCAATTACATTTAAAATGGTATTATATATTAAATCCACATTATGTGATCCTAGAACACATTTAAAACTTAATATTCTCTTATCTAAATCAAATCTTTTAAAGTAATGTCCGGTTACAGCTAAATAATTTTTATTGGTAACGGCAGACCAAATATCTACCGTTAATGCAACGCACCCGCTAGTCGAGTGTAAAAAGTTTATTAATGCTTATTTTTCTTTTTTAAATAATTTTAATAAATCTTTTCTACGAGTAATTTTTGAAGTAAACTGTGCATTAGGATTATGTACAATCTTAATATATCGTTGCCAATTAGAATGCTCTACAAAACTAAGTGGTTGATCTAAAGCAACTATCATTCGTGCAACTTCCATGCGATCTACTTGCGGATCGTATTTTCAAGTGTTTAGACCACCGGTTGTGCGATTAAAAGATAATTGTGTTTGGCGGAGTTCGGGTCCGCCGGATTGGCTGAGCTTTTGAAGAGACTTTTCGGAGTGACTTCTCAAGTGTGTGGTGCCGTGAATAGTGTCACCTTATAATTTAGATAAACAATATTTACACTGAGCTATATGTTTAGTGTTACCTTCATTGTCGATCTCCTCAATTATGTCGAAGTAATCTCAAACTGTCGAGGTGCGCTTGCATTTCCTCCTAGAGGTTGCAACATTTGCAGATGCAGTCGCACTGGCACTCGCCGTTTTTCCACGCCCACCACCATTGCGACCACGACCTCCAGTACGTCCACCAGGGTTCGGATTAGTAGATTCTTGCGTAACAAATTCATTAGTGGAAAATTACCCTTCTTCCACGTTGTGTTGAGCATCAACGAGAATACCACTATAACTAAAAGGATCCATTATAAAAAAAATAATAGTGATTTGATAGAGAGAGAGCTTTAGAATAATGTGATAGTTTTTAGAAAAATTGTAATAGAGATTTGAGAGATTGAGAGAGATTGAGAGGGATTGAGAGAGTTTGAGTGAGAAAAATGTGCGGGGGATGGGGAGTATTTATAGGAAAATTTTTAGGTTAAAAAATTAATTTTTTTTCAAAAAAATCAATGTGCAACGGGCAAAATTGATTTTCGGCGGTCAGGTTCAGGCGGGTTTCAGGCAAATTCGGGCGGCTCGGGCAAAAAAGTAGCCGTTGGACGGTTTTCGGGCAACTCGGGCTTCAGGCAAATTTTGGGTTTTCGGGCTTATTTTCGGGTCGGGCACACGGTCGGATTTTTGAACGTTTTTCGGGCAATTCGGGCTTCGGGCGGTTCGGGCAGTCGGGCATGGCCGGAAAAATTGAAAAAAAACTCCGGCGGACGGCGGGCTCCGGCGTGGTCTCAAAATTCGGACTGCCCGAGCCCGAGCCCAAAAATCCTCCTTGAACAGGCCGGCATATGGACCTGCTCGCCCGAGCCCGAAAAAATTCGGGCTTCGGGCAGCCCGCCGACCCGAAGTTCCAGCACTGCATGAGAGAGTGGTCTCTCCGTGTAATTTTGAGAGAATGTTGTAATCCCTATTTTTCATAATGAAATCCTTCTACATTTGTCCCGTAGTTTTTATCCCGTCTTCTTTGGGGGTTTTCCACGTACTTCATGTTTACTTATTTCTTATTTTCCCGCCAGATTTGCCAACAAGAATCTCCCAAAAAGAAAAAAGACGAAACACATTTTCCGTATAACCAATAAAAAAGTTCTGCAGACGGTAGACTTCAACCAAAGGGCAGAGATAAATGGAATTACAAATTTTACTATCGGAAGACAACCTAATAAGAGTTCTTTACTATATATTATGTGTGTGTGTTTGTGTATTGCTGAATTATTATATGCTTGAAGTAAAGAAAGGAAAAACATCCTTCTTTGCACGAGGTTAAACACAAGAAGAGCTAATTGCAAATATAAAAGCCATTACTTAAAATAAGGCATAATATACACATCGAGAGTATTTTCCCCAACAGTTGTAAACCCTATGACCAATGTTTCATATAGCTTCAACATTTTTAAGAATCTTATCATTTTTAAAGAAAATTGCATATCTAATTTCATTCGACACCTGTGAAAACCTACAAACATAAAACTCAAGCCTTCTAGAGTTAATAAAGTACCTTAATTTGTCAAAATGCAAGAAACCCATCAACTGCATGCACTAGTCTTGCTATGACAATGACAAGAGCATAAGAAGAAAGCATTCAGATTTTCCGATTTGTTAATGCCTCATCATAGGACATAGATTTCTGCTAAGTGTCAAGAAACAATTCCCCTTCTGTGGTTGATATATAAAGATTTCAAGGAAAGAGAAAAGGAATCTTCTCAGCAGCATTTGGCTCTTTAAACTTGCGAGTTATCTGAGGCAAATATCTATGGGCCATGGGGTTATAAAACAAAGAAGCCTCTGTACCTACAGGTAAGAAATCTATTGTGAAGCTAGAGATCTACACTAGGAATAAGAAAAAGGAGCACTCTGTCCAAGCTTAAAAGAAAAGCAGAATCGCTACTTACAGCCTATGAGTTACGAGGGGAATCAATCAACTAGCGCATTTAGAAAATATCGACAATAGAATAGTTGTATTTTTCGTAAAAGAGGATATAATTAGTAACACAGTAATGCAGGATACCAAGAATGAAGATTGTACCGAGGTAAGGAAACACAAGAAGCAGGTCTATTCATGAAGTTAATACTTAGACCAAGTCTATTCATCTAGTACTGGTCAAACCTCGAAAATGGCTTTGTAACAAGAAAAACCCTAAGAGATAGCACATTTAGAGTATGGAAGCTTAGTTCTATAAGTTAAGGGTGAAGAGAAGTAAACCATTGACTAAACAGCTCTATTACTAAAGCTGATTCTGATAGGATTATGTTAGTAATTAGTAATCAATATAATAAGTGGTTAATGGTTTGTTATGTTTGTTAAGTAGTTAGTAGTTAGTTAGGCCTTGGGATTGGTGAGTGGATTAAGACATAGTGAGTATAAATAGAACGGAGATAGAATAAGGGAGTATTATTCAGTTTGTGAAACTTCCGAGAGAAGATAGTCTAGGAGAGCAAGGGATCTCTCGAATATCCCCATATGTCTTTCTGTAACCCAATTTCCGCCATTGATATTAATCAAAGCTTCTTGTTAGCATTTCTCTTTCCGATTTGCCATTTTCAATTGGTTGTTTGGATTGGAGCTTATCAGATTCCTCTAAAAAGTTGAGTCTTCTGGAGAAAGATCTAAAGAGGCTAAGGAGAACCCTTGAGTTTGCACTAGTAAGGCTGTTTGGGAATCTAGGTGTCAATTGTCTGTTGTCATAATTGTAGCGTCAAAATACAGGCGACGGATAAGCAAAGTGAAATTGAATGGTTAAAAGGATGAGGAAGGATTTAAAGGCTATGCTAAAAGGCCTTGTTTTGAGAAATAATTACCAATATTAAAACAGAACGAAATGGCTGGGTGAACAGGTTTTCAGCAATTGTTGTATTCATCATCACCAAAAGGACTAAAGATGTAAACTCCAAGTTACGAAAACGTCTAAAGTGGAAGACTCGTCAGCAAATCGAGAGTTAAAGCCGAACAGTTGTGCTCCTATCATTACAGTCCAAGGAGTCTACTTTAAAGTTTTGTTTCCTTCTTTTTCTTCCTGTTCTTTTTTTTTTTTTTAAATAGGAAACCTTGTTGATTAATGCATATTGTGCTATTCGTTTTCAATTACTACATTTACCTGCTAACAAAGAGACAGTGTGGATTTAATAAGATAAACAGCGTACTTGTAATTCAAATTGAATTATGAAGAGTAAAAACAATCGCATTAATAGACAAGTAATTGCAGTAGTATTAAAAATAAAATAAAAAAGGACCAAGAATGAAAGATCTCATACTTCAAAAGCATTCTTGAGGTAATCAAGTTCTTTGTCTAGATCATTGATAGCCTGGTTGTATGCTTGCATTGGTGAAGACTGGCTAGTTGTGTGAATCTACAGAGAACAACAGAATGATAAATTTCAGAAGCTAGATTATTGATAGTCATACTATATAGAGAAAATAATTTATTAAACCATGTCTATTTTCTATTGAAACGCTGCAAAACCACTTTTATATGATGCAAAGTTAGACTTTTGAGTTAAATAGTGAATTCATGTGAGAGAAAGCAATGTAGCAGAAAAAGTTGAATTTTAGTAAAAACTTGAGTTATGATTCGAACTAACGAAACGAAAGAGACCGCATCGTACCAGAATTCCACATATACACAAGCATCTTTATTAACCTATCAATTCTTTTTAATTTATTTCCTCTACACCAAAACTAACTAACAAAACAACCAAAGCCCAATCCAACAAACAAAAAAATTTAAAACTGAAATTGTAAAACATTAAGCATTTATAATTAAGAATTTAATAGAACTTACTTACCCTGACAATGATCTTATACTGAAGCGGGTGAGGAAGCTTGTAACCGGCGAAAAGTACATTTTCATCCCTGTGCAATTGCCTGGTAGAGAACGCCCAATATTTAAAAACCAAAAAAAAAAAATGAAAAAAGAAAAATTATCCAAAAAAGAAAATCGAAAATTAAAGATATTTAACAAAAAAAATGAAAAAATATACATGCGGAGGATGTTGCCAATGGTGTGATCCTCTCTCTCGATGGTAAACGACGCCGCATTGATGATTTTAGTGTCCCTCTCGTACGAGACCCTGCGATTAACCAAAACCCAAAAATATTCGGCCAAAAAAAGAAAAAGATAATAACAATGGAAAATTTGAAAATAAAAATGAAGAAAAATGTACTTCTTGGTGCCTTCAGGGACGACGAATCGCTCGTATCGGTCGGGAGCGTTCATGGTGGGTTTCTCTGCGAGAATTAAAAGGGGAAATTGAAAGGAATAAATGTTATGTGAAGAACATGAGACGAAATAAAAAGGAAATTAAGAGAAGAATGATGAAGCTTACCACTAGAGGCTCAAGAGAAGAGAGGACAGAAATGAGGGAGAAGCCTTGTCAATTGTATTGAACAGAGGTTTTGGGTTTGTTATTTTAGGCTTAGGGTGTGGTTTTTCTTTCTTTCTTTTACTTTTTTTTAATATACAGGGTGGGTTTAGGTTTGGGTTTGGGTTTGTTTTTATTTTTTTTAGGCCTTGTTTATTTTAGATTTAAATTTTAAATTTTAAGATTTTATAATTAAAAATACTTAAAAATATCACATTTAATTTTTTTATTATATTTAAAAAAATATCACATTAGTGTTTTACACTTGGGTTTTGAAATTTCCAAATTCGCATTTTTTTAGCACTTTAGTCTTTCTTTTTTTTTTTTTTTTTTTTGGTAAGAAGCACTTTAGTCCATATTTTGAAAAGGAAAAAGCACATAAATATCCTTTTGAACACACTTTTTTTTTCATTTCAGACCCGAAATCAAGTCTTATTTTATTGAGGGTTAAAATATACAAAAATAATAAAAAAATAGGTCAATATGAAAAGTTTAAAAATATATATAGGTCAATTTTTAGTTATAAAAATTAATAGGTCATAACTTGTTAAGTTATGGTTCATAATCAGATAAGTTATGAATAAACTTGTCAAGTTATGGTTCATAGCCAGACAAGTTATGGACAAAAACTGTGAATTATGGACAATAACTTGTCAAGTTATGGTTCATAACCAGACAAGTTATGGACAAAAACAGTAATTTGACATATTTATTAATTTATATAAACTATTAGCCTATTAATTTTAATTCATCTCAAGTCTGAATCTATTTTCTTCTTTCCCCCTAAAATATATGTGTTACCGAAATTGCCATGGCCACACAAAAAAGATAATATGCTAGATTGATTACCTTCAGTAATCTACCAGATGCTGTCAAAGGTGATCTTTGAATTTTGACAATCACTGGTGCTGGTCGTTGACCCTGGTTGTTGGAGAGTAATTTAGTGGATTATTTTTCTTATAATCTACTATATTTAGTGCGTTTGATATTTATTTTAAAATAATTTTATTTTTTTTATGAAATTAGAAATGAAAATATTTTTAATTTTAAACAAAAATTATTTTTTAAAATATTTAATAATTTTATTAAAAGATTATTTTTAATATAAAAAAATATATTAATATCTCTCTCTATTTAGAAAAAAAAATAAAAATAAAATAAAAAACGATTAAAAGATATTTTTTATTTCTCTTATATTTTATATTAAATTAAAAAATCGTTTTTAGTTTTATTTTTTATCTTTAATTATATTAAATACTGTTTTAGATTTTCTTTTTTTTCTCAAAAAAATAAAAAATAAACACGAGCAATTATATTTTCAACAAAAAATTCACCAGTCGTCTTCGGTCGTCGACACTGATCGTCAAAGTATTTTCTTTATAATCTGCAAGATATTTTTTTTTTTTTAAATAATTGATGGCGACACCAACTCGATCCCATCGTACTGAACATTAACGGACTCCGACTGTCGGATGCATCAAAGGAACTCACCACCTTGTTTCATCCTGTTGGAGGAACTTCAATAGAGCAGAACTCGCACGTAGGACGAGATTGACAAAGCTTCGATCTCCATAAACGACAACAGTGAATCTTCCCGCATTGTCACTGTTGTTGTGCAGTTGAAGAACATGAGATTTGTCCAAGATTCAAAGGGAGGTGGAGACTCGAGCAGGAGAGAGAGAGGGGAAGAGATCTAATGTGAGGGAGGGCAAGATGACAAGATCTTTTCAAAGTGATTTAAGAGTTTATTGTTTGTATCTGGGACAAAAATGTTAATTGAAAAAAAGATTTTTTTTTTTTTTGAAAAATTGAAATTTTTTTTTTTAAAAAAATGAAAAGAGTATTTAAAAAAAAAAAAAAAAAAAAAAAAAAAAAAAAAAAAAAAAAAAAAAAAAAAAAAAAAAGAGAGATCAATATTGCTCAACAGAACATTGCTTTTGAGTTATGAGAAGGCATTATACGCAATTCTCTCCTTTGAAAATTTGGGCAACTAAACTTGAGTCCTTAATTTCCAAATTTAGACAATATTATTAAAAATAATAAAATAAATATTTAAAACTATAAAACATTTGTGATATCTACATTCTAAAGTCATGAGTTCAATGAATTCAAATATGAAGAAAGTTTTTTAAGGTTAAAATAGTAATAATCTTAACTGATTAAAACTTCTGTAAAATTAAATTTATTTTTGTTCCACAATTTCCATTTATTTAACCAATGTTAAAGGGGATCTTTTTAGTAAAGTCAATTATCCAAATTTCAAAATAGAGCCCCAATTGTCAAAAAAAAACAAAAAAAAAAAAAAAAGAAAGAAAGAAAGTTTAAGGACACAGTTGTTCATAATTTAAAACTGGGGACCAAGTTTAGGAATCCTTGTGTATAATCTTCCGATTTTTAAGGTTACATGACATAAATTCTTGTTAGGTTTGTAATCCCCCTTTGCGCCCTTTCAAATTCAAGCGCCTACATGCACTATCTTAGAACATGGGGCTTCCTCCCACGAAGAACAACACGATCTTTGTTTTTTTAAGCTAAGTAGAAACACTGCGTTGAATTTGATAAAAATTATATTAAATTAAAAAAATATGTAGAACAGACAGATTCTGATACATATCTAACAGTTAAAAAATAAAAATAATCCAAAAGTTATAATCAATTTTGTAATGGTTTGGTTATAAAACATTCCATTACAAAATCTCAAACAGTCCAAAACTAGAAGTTAAGAAAATATAATAGAAGAGAGGGAGAAGAAAGCCAAATAAAATTAATGGATTGCCAATTGGGTATTGCTGCAAAACAAGAAGTCCCCCATCTTTTCGTTTATCTCACCGAGCGTTATTTTTGGGTTGTTGTCTTTGCGTTTGTTCATCTTGTTCCTTAATAAAATCCCTCTTTCAAGGAGCTAAAATGGGAGAGTCACTAGATACGGCAGCTTAGATCTCTCTAGGAAGGTGTTGTCAAGTTCGTGGGTAGTGTTGAAACTTTAGACGGGCCGCCCGACCACTGAAAATTTTGAATTTTTACCTGATGACCAAGCCCGATTTGCCCAAATTTTTGGGTTGCCGACCTGACCGAGTTAGATGGGCTTCGGCCAGCCATTGGCTGCCCGTGCCCGGTCGGGCTGCCCGAGCCCGACCGAGTTGCCCGAATTTTTAAATATTTTTATATTATATATTTATATATATATATTACAAAAAAATTATTTCTTCATTGATTTTTAAATTTGTAATTCATGATTGCCTCGTTAAAAACCTTACCAAGAAAAACTCAATTGGGATAAAAACTTGGTAAGGAAAAAAGAGTGCAATCATTGTAGGATGAATTATAAATTTGATGAACTTACAAAGTCTATACAAGATTACAATAATACTATACAAAGTAAATAAATATTTATAAATTACAATAATAGAATTTAATTTGAAGTAGAATGATCGTCTTGAAAATTAAAAGTTAATCTATTAAATTCGTTGATCCATTCTTGGCTTGCCAGTGAAATTGTATTGTGTAAGCGTTGGTCGGAACGATCCCAATCCTTGATGCACACCAAAGCTTCAACAATATCTTGTTGCAATGCGTTTCTCCGTTCTTCAAGTATTCGGCCGGTTGTACTGAATGCTTGTTCTGCTGAAACAGTGGAGACTAGGATTGAAAAAATATCCATTGCCAGTCGAGCTAGGGTCGGCCATGTTAATGCTCGTGCCCTCCACCACTGAACCAAATCAAACATTTCACTATTGTCGACAACTAAGCCCTCACTCAGGTACGTCATTAACTCGTTAAAGCCGCCGATGTTGTCGCCACCTCTTGATGAAGATCCACTCCCAGATTCTTCTTGACCTTGAGTCATCGTCGTCGTCTTCTTCTTCTTCTTCAACCCGAAAACATTCAAGAATGAATGCAGATTGTCGTCTCGTTGTTGCGGTTGTTCTACACGAGGTGTGTTTCTAAACCTACTTTCATAAGAGCTATAGAGAGATAATATTTTTTTCCTTTATAATAGGAAATTGGTCATAACAGTCGATATCTAAAAAATCACCTAAGTTTTCTAATCCACTTTCTAAACCTAATAATTTTAATCTAGGGTCGAAAATAATACCGAAATCATACAATATTGGTAATTTAGACCAATATTTTTTAAACTTCTTTTCTATTGAAGCAATAGGAACTCTTAAAACCTTGTGTGTCCTAAATTCACTAAATAAAATAGTCATTCTTAAAAGTTCTCCTAACCCTAATAGTGACGTTAGGTAATAAGTTCCACTAAGCTTTAAAGTAACTTTGTGAAATCTACCTAAAAAGTTATACAAGAGTTCGGCAATTTGCCAATCAGTTTCGTTTATAAATCCCGGTCCGCTGCCCAAACCCTAAAGTAACTTCGTGTGTAGTGACGTAAATAATGTTACATTGTAATTTATCACCACAATATTTACATTGAGCTATGTATTTAACGTTACCATTATTATCGACCTTCTCGAATGTGTTGAAGTGTTCTCAAACTGTTGAGGCGCGCTTACATTTCTTCTTAGAACTTGCAACTCTTGTGCTAGCACTTCTGCTTGCCTCTCCTTTACACCCACCACCATTACGTCCACAACCTCTAGTACGTCCACCAGGGCTCGGATTTGAAGTTTCCTCAGCAGCTCTTTCTGTTGTTTGTGATTCCTGCGTTTGAAAAATATTAGTAGGAAATTTCTCTTCTTCGATGTTGAACTGGACATCAATAGAAATATCACCACCATAACCAGAAGAAGCCATTGTGAAAAATAAGAGAGATTAAGAGCGCTTTGGGAGAGATTAAGAGAGATCGAGAGAGATTTAAGCGAGATTAAGAGAGATTTAGGAGAGATTAAGAGAGATTGAGAGAAATTAAAAGAGGATGAGAGTTTTTGGGTGAGGAAAATAGTTGGGGGAAGGGGAGTATTTATAGGAAATTTTTTGGCTTGAAAAAAAAAATTCCCTCAAAAAATTGGTTCCAACAGTAACAAAAATTTAAGGGGTCGGGTTGGGTTCGGGCAACGGTAATAAAAATAGCCATTGGGTTTAAAATTCGGGTGGCTGTCTGGTCGGGCAAAAAAGAGCCGTTGGGTTCAAAATTTGGGCTAACGGTAAAAAAAATTCGGGCAAATTCGGGTTGCGCGAGAAAATTAAAAGAAAAACCGGCGGACGGCGATCTCGACTTCTCCACCGGTGGCGGGTTGCCGAGAATGGATTTTCCTCGGGCTGCCTGAGCCCGAGCCTGGAAAAAATGGTCAGACGGGCGGCGAATGGTGCCTGCTCGCCGAGCCTGAAAATTTTTGGGCATTGGGCAGGCCCGCCACCCGAAGTTTCAGCACTATTCGTGGGTGTAGAGAGATGAGCGGTGTTGGTTCAGCGATCAGAGATGGCGACGAATGAGGTGGGCTGGGTGTCTTCTTCGAGTAGCGTACTGTGTTGCCGCTCTCTCGCCCATTTATGGTGGTGATTGACAGGCCATGAGAGTCTCTGTCGGTGTCTTCTAGTGCTTACTCTCATGTTTTGATTTGTGTGCTTGTAATAAGGCGTTGATATTTCTGTCGTTCTATTTTAATTTGTTTATATTTCGTTGTTGGTCGTTGGCATGTGTTTGGCCTTGTGTTGTTTTAGTTTGTTCTGTCGTTTATGTCTCCTCGTTATAAGGGTTGGTAATCATACATTCCAGAGTGCGAAAGATTATCTCAACGGGAAGGGTTTCTTCTACTCGAGCCTTGAGTGTGCTCGTTGGTAGTGTGCTTAGATGTTCTCCCATTTTCGAGCCTCAGATATGTCTCTGTTCACTTGTTGGGTCATTAGCATTGTCCTACGCATTTGTATTTGATGTAGTTATAAGTACCGCTATGACATCGATTATCTAATAATAATGCAGCGTTTTTTTTATAAAAAAAAGGAGCGGCAAAGTAACATGTGTTTTGGGGTATTTAGAACAGAAAAAAAAACCGTTTTGGAGTTAATTTTCCTCTCATTACATCGTCCTCCGACTTCAATAATAAACTGAACATGTAAATCTATATGCTCCTCCACAATCATACACAGTTTAATCTTAACATTATGGTACCTGATTTATTGCTTCACGAGCGGTAATTAACACAAATTCTCCCGAAATCTAATTCTCTAATGTAACATCAAGTTGATGTATTGCTGAAAATTTTTGACATTTAAAAGAAAAAAGGTACTTTTCCATGCAAATATACCATATCTAAATTTAATACACAGCTTCATCTTAACATTATGGTACCTGACTAATTGCTTTACGAGCGGTAATTAACACATATTCTCCCGAAATTCAATTCTCTAATGTAACATCAAGTTGATGTATTGCTGAAAAATTTTGACATTTAAAAGAAAAAAAGGTACTCTTCCATGCAAATGTTATTATCTATGCTAAAATTAACTATACCATATCTAAATTTAATACAAAAGTTATTACAAAACATAACAAATATTAAATTTGACATTTGATTGTTATTGTTTAATATATTATTTTTTTATTTAATCATGACAACATCATTCTTTTAAAATTATTACAATAAAAAGTAGATAAGACATTTGGATATGCAAAATTAAAGAGTACATCAAATACGTTATTTCAAATTTTTTTTAGTTACAAATAATTGAAATGGGAGATGGTCTAAGTTAAATATATTTTGTTGTTGTGTTAGCTTACATTTTTCATAATGTCCATTTGCAACCCAGACTTTTTAGAAGCAGAGGATCACTTCTGCGGCTTATAGTTATCCACTTATTCTTTTTTTATTTTATTTAAATTTTGGTAGAAATAGTTATCCACTTCTTAGGGAAAGTGTATACGTACAAAATATTTTCTTTTTCCTTTTTCTTTTCCGACAAAGACCACCAGAGCCAGGGAGAATTTATTAACATTGTATGGTGGCCTAAGCCCAAAAGTGTCCCTTATTCATATTAGAAACCTACCACAGAATTTAATGTTCAAGGTTATTATCGTCCTTCGATAATTAATTTTTATGTCAGGGTCCCGCGAGAGAAGATTATCGCCAACAACTTGCCATCGTTTAACATTCTATATTCTATCACACAAAAAGACAAAAAAGCTTTACACTTTAATATTATTTTCTTATTTTGCTGGAAACATTTTATTATTATTTAATGGAAAATTAAAACGGGAAAAGAAAAAAAAAAAACAACTTGAACATAAGAAAACCTCAGAGGTCCACATGGCAGGAATCAATTGGAAGATGACGTCAACATAGTGATGTCATTTGTTTACTTCACTTGCCATTCGTCAGACAGGCAATGCCCTCTTGGACGTTCTCTGCAAGGCGCGTGGCATTTTTTCCCCCAAATCTTTCTTTCGTTTTTTTTTTTTTTGGATAATTGGACTTTCATTAACCAAATAAAGATACAACTTTCTTTTGTTGTTTGCTCTTTGCAATTGCACTACCTAAAAATAAACTCCAACATTTTTTTTTTAAAACTTCTCCCATAGTCTATTCTACTAATAATCTCATTTTTTAATCATTAAATCTTGTTAAAATCAAATCAGATTAAAAAAAATACACAAAACGGACAAATTCTAATATAGATTTAACAGTTCAAAAATAAAAAAAAATTACTGATTATCTATGTTCATAATAACTACTAGAGAAAGTCTTTTTTTAGTGTGCCAACTTAATGCTAAATATCTTATTTTATTTTATCAAAGTTAAGAAAACGAGGCTACTCTTAAAAAAATATATATAAACTAATTTGCATGCAAAATGCAAGAATAAATTGAATCACAATTTCTTTGACATAAATATGCCTAATGATATAACTGTAAGTTTAGGTTGAGCTAAATAGGTCGGCCCACTATCCGTCACTGTTGAACGGCTCAGCACAAACGCCTTCTATTAATTTTTTTTAAATGACTTATCAAATTACGGACCGAACCGGGGCAGCCGGCCCTAGACCCGTCAGACTTTAAGGCTGACCCTGACCGACCATTTCCCTTTTAGGGTTTGCCCAACCAGCCTGATTTCCATTCAGGCTACCAGTCTCACCTCTACTTTAGAGCATAAAAATTTTGATTTATAAAAAGAAAACACCACATTCTTATTTAGACTTTTTAAGAAAAATTATTAGTTGCAAACTACAAATTAAGAGCCATTCACAAGAAAAAAGAATTATAAAATGAAATTCAAATTAAAGTTTTACTAAAAGAAAAGTACGGAATTAATGATTTTTTTTTCACTATTGATAATGAAGGCTCTTTTAACCGTTTAATTAATTTTTGAACTATTAAATCCATGAGTGTGATTGTGAGAGTACTTTTGTGTTACACATTACATATTTTTAACATGATAACTTATAAACCATGTCGGAGATAAATTCATTCAAGATAGCTAAAAGAGCCTTCACTATCGTGAGTAAGAAAGTTAAGCTCCCCTTTCATAAAAATTGATAAAAAAGAAAAAAAAAGGACAATTTTCTTTTTTAAATATCTTATGAGTTTCATAATAATTTTTAAAGGCCTTTTATCGTAGAGTTTTTAAAAGTTAAATTTAATCAAATTCACATCAAAATAATAATAAATAAATAAAAACATAATCTAATACATATTCGACGACTCAAACTCAAAGTTATTATTAAGAAATACCTTCATTAAAGTATTTTTTTCATACCCTATGTAAAACTCTCATAACTTTTATTATATCCGTTCACGATTTTCATTTGAATATCTAATTCATGTTCTCCGGAAAAATAATTTCTGACCGGTGTTAAAATTTAATTCTTCCTGCACTCATTAAAAAAAGGTTGAATCTCATTATTATTGCTAGTGTAGCATTACAATATTTTTCTCCAATATTGTTGTGTAGTAATACATACATTTCTACGTATAACACACGCAAAAAAAAAAGTAGTTTTTTTAAATAAAAAAAGATGTACTTGAAGCACGCGGAATTGTTGACGTGTGCTTATAACGCGCGTGGGGGTTGTTTAAGTACTGCCTCAATACCAGGAATTTTCCAACTAGCTTCTTTATCTTCCTATATCATATATCATATTTTTTGCTAATCATATCATATATTATATTACACTGCTTTTCTTTACATGTATAAAAGGACATCTTTCCCTATTATCCATCTTTGGCTCAGTTTAGTAGCAAAAGTTCTATTTCATATTCAGTTTTACCCCCATTACTTTCCAACATAACATTACAATATGGCTTCTTCTCCTTTGCCTGAAAATGTGCTCTCCGGTCGGCAAAAGCTGATCGATGAGCTTGTTCAAGGTCGCGAAATCGCCAATCGACTCCAAACTTTGCTTTCCCAGCCGGTTGGCGATGATGGGTCGTTGGTAAATTCTGCGGAAGATCTGGTTTCGAGGATAATGGAGTCGTTTACGAATACCCTTTTCATGTTGAACAAAAACGGCACTGTTGAGGCCGTCCTTTCTCAGATTCAGGCGGCCGCGGCCACTAGTTCTCGCGTCGATTCGCCGTGTTTGGATGGTCGGAAATCTGAGGATTCCGGGGAAAGTTGCAGGAGTGTTTCCACTACTTTGAAAGATCGGAGAGGTTGCTACAAGAGAAGGTAAACAAAAATAAATTAAAATATTGACCTAGCTAGATTTTGATTGTGGGGTTGGGGGTAGTTTCGTCTATTCAAGTGGGATTGGAACTGAGTGACCTAAGATCTAGCATACCCATTTGCCGATTTCAACTAAGAAGCGAAGTAATAGAAGTGAATGGACAGACATGCCCCTTATTCCCTACCTGATTTACCACTCATGGCTAGAATATGGGTGGTGTAAAATTGGTCGCAGCTTACAAGGGATTTGTTGTTTTGTTCTGTTTTTGTTTTTGTTTTTTTTTGTTTTGGTGATAATTTGGATATAATATTATGGCATATTGTTAAAATGTTTTCAGGAAGGCTGCCCATACCTGGCAAAGAGAAACTTCAACTTCGATTGATGATGGGCATGCATGGAGAAAGTACGGACAAAAAATGATTCTCAAAGCCAAACATCCCAGGTACAAGATGCAATAATTATCGTTTATCTACATATGTGATTCGTTGTTGGCTAATATCCATTACATATATATATAAATCTGATCTTTTCCCCATCAATGTTATTTAACTCGAGATATACTGTTATACTTATATTTGGTAACAAACTTGAACTACGTTTTTAGAAGTACTAGATTCTACCTAAAGAAAGGAAAAAAGAAAAAAAAAAAAAAAAAAGACTTTAGCTAGTAGCTACTTCTAAAATTTCGGAAAAGAACTCCAAGATTGCGGGAAATTTTCCTTCTTTAGTTGGTATGTCCGTACTCAGTTGTACGGGAAACTAAGGATGGATCTGCCATTATGTCAAGCCGAAAATTTTCCTTCTTTAGTTTGAGACTACTTTTCCTCCCATCAACTAAATATATAGACTAATTAGTTTGGACTGTTTGGTCAAACTAAGGGTAGGAAAAAAAAATTTAAGGTGTGTTTGGAACTCGTTCTAAAATAATTTTATTTTTTGTATGAAAATAGAAATGAAAACGTTTTTAATCTCATATATAAATTATTTTTGAAAATGTATTGGATAGTTTTATCAAAAATTGTTTTCAGTATAAAAAAAATTCATTAATGTCTCTCTCTGTTTGAGAGAGGAAAAAACATAAATAAAAAATAAAAATGATTAAAAGTCATTTTTCATTTCTTTTTTATTTTATACTAAATTAAAAAATCGTTATCATTTTTATTTTTTGTATTTCATTGTACTTAAACGCTCCATTTTAATTTTTTTTTCTCAAAAATGTGAAAAACTAAAATAAAAATAATTTTTTCTATCTTCTTTTGACTTCCAAGTATATATTAGATAACACATATATAGTAATATTCTTATCATGTACTATATATATATATATATATATATATACATGGTATATATGCGTGCAGACACTACTATAGGTGCACTAACAAGTATGATCAAGGATGCCAAGCAACCAAACAATTCCAGAAAATTCAAGACAATCCTCCAATCTTCAGGACAACATATTGTGGGCACCACACATGCAGAAACCTCCTTAGAGCTCCTGAACTCGTCTTTGATTCTACTAGTCCTAACCAAGACTCTTCTCTTCTTCTTAGCTTCAAAGACTCCAATAATCTCAATAACCTCACACCCCAACAAGCACATCATTTTTTCTCATCACTCACTTCTGTAAAACACGAGGAATTCAAGGATATTGAGCCTGCATGTAATAGCAGCGTAACTGTAGCCGGTCAGAAGAACCAATCATCCTCCTCTGATTATATTGTCTCCTCTGATCAATATCATGATGATGATCTGACGGCATTTGATCAATCTCCGGGGCACATGACGGTGATGTCATCAAATTTGGACTCTGATATCCATGGGGATGTAATTTCTGGGGTGATTTCCTTTGATGATGATGTCTTGCAACACTTGAATTTTTGATAGTTTTTCTTTTTTCTGGACTTGTTATTAGATTTTTATAATATATACTAGCTTTGTAATTTGGTACTATTGCAGAAGAATTATGTAGTTTTCTCTCTTTATCTCCTCCAAGGATCTTGTGTGATATTGTGTAGAAACATTAGTGCATTAATCAAATTAGAATAATATGTAATCTTTTTTTTGTTTTCCATATATTATCCTCTTTGTGAATGTTGCTTAGTATTTTGGGCGTTCATGACTCAACCATATAATCTCTTATCAGGAAATCTATTATGGTGGGAAGGCTTCTTTCGAAGGTTCTTTAATTTAGTTAGATTAATCTTTCAACAGTCTAATCATTTCAGTGTGTTTTTTATTTTTTATTTTTGTTTTAATTATTATACAATACACATTTTAAACATAAACACTCATATATTGGACTATTAAAAAAAATTAATCTAATCGCTAAAAGAAAATTCTCTAGTAATAGAAAAAATAACCTTCTCTATTATAAAAATTTCCCTCACATCCCATGCATTAAAAGAAGAAGAAGAAGGAATAATATGTATATACAAAGGATATATAATGTGCACCATGCTGATAAAGCAAGGTTAACCTTTTAATGAATTCTATTCACCAGGTAATCTATTAAATTTTTTGTTAGGTTTGTAATCCCCCTTTGCGCCCTATCAAATTTAAGCGCCTACACGCACTATTTTAGAGCATGTGGCTTCCTCCCACGAATAACAACGTGATTTTTTTTAAGCTAGGTAGAAACACTGTGAGGTCTTAATTAAGATTTCTATTCCTTTGCCTTCGGTCGCTCTCATAATCCATGAAAGCAATAGTGATCGCCGTGTCGATAACGTCCACCTAAGTCCTATCTTTACCGTGTCTGTGTGTAAATTATTGTAATCCGTCTCTCTCCTCAGAAACACCGAGAGCTCCAATTGAACTACAATGGCAGAAAAGTTTCCCTAATTCATAAATTAAATATACTCAAAGCCAAAACTAAAAGTTAAAAAGTATGAAGTTTCTTTGGTAGTCCGTTCTACAGATAGTCTCAATTTTTTAACTGTTGATTTTGATCAAAATCATATTAAATTAAAAAAAATTTAATAAAGATCTAACAGTTAAAAAGTAAAAATGATCCAAAAAAGATCTAAAAATTATAATCAATTTTGTAATGGTATGGTTATAAAAGATTCCATTACAAAATCTTAAACAGTCAAAACAAGAAGTTAAGAAAATATAATAGAAGAGATCAGGGAGAAGAAAGCCAAATAAAATTAATGGATTGTCAACTAGGTATTGCTGCAAAACAAAAGGTCCCCTTTCTTTTCGTTTTATCTCACCGAGTGTTGTTTTTGGGTTGTTGTCTTTTTCCTTGCTTTGTTTATTTTGTTCCTTAATAAAATCCCTCTTTCAAGGAGCTAAAATGGGAGGGTCACCAGATGCGGCAACTTGGATTTATTTGGGAAGCCATTGTCGAGTTCGTGGGTGTAGAAGGGGGAGGAGCGGTGTTGGTTCAACGATCAGAGATGGCGATGGAGGAGGTGGGTTGGGTGTCTTCTTCGAGTAATGTGTTGTATTACGGCTCTCTCACTCATCTATGGTCATGCTCATCGCGTCATTGGAGTCTCTGTCGGTGTCTTTTGGTGTTTACTCTCATGTTTTAATTTGTGTGTTTGTAATATGACTTTGATATTTCTGTCGTTCTATTTTAATTTGTTTATATTTCGTTGTTGGTAGCTAGCGTGTGTTTGGCCTTTTGTTGTGCTGTTGATGTCCCCTCATTATGAGGGTTGGTAATCATACCTTCCACAGTGCGAGAGTTTATCTCAACAGGAAGGGTTTCTTCTACTAGAGCATTGAGTGTGCTCGTTGGTAGTGTGCCGAGATGTTCTTCCATTTTCAAGCCTCAGACATGTCTTTGTTCACTTGCTGGGTCATTAGCATTGTCCTACGCATTTGTATCTAATGTAGTTGTAAGTGCCGCTATGGCATCAATTATCTAATAACAATGCTGCATTTTTTTTTTTTTTTCAAAAAAGAGGAACGGCAAAATAACATGCGTTTTGGGGTATTTAGAACATAAAAAAAAAAAAAAAAAACTGTTTTTGATGTTAATTTTCCTCTCATTACATCTTCCTCGGACTTCAATAATAAATTGAACATGTAAATCTATATGCTCCTCCACAATCATACACAGTTTGATCTTAACATTATGGTACATGGCTTATTGCTTCACAAGCGGTAACTACCGCAGATTCTCTCGGAATCCAATTCTCCAATGTAACGTCAAGATGTATTGTCGAAAAATTGACATTTAAAAGAAAAAAAGTACTCTTCCATGCAAATGTTATTGTCTATTCTAAAATTAACGGTACCATATCTAAATTTAATACAAAATTCGTCACAAAACATAGCAAGTACTAAATTTGACATTTAATTATTATTGTTTTATATATTAATTTTTTTATTTAATCATGATACAATCATTGTTTTAAAATTATTACAATAAAAAGTAGATAAGACATTTGGATACGCAAAATTAAAGAGTACATCAAATACGTTATTTCACATTTTTTTTAGTTACAAATAATTGGAATGGGAGATGGTCTAAGTTAAATATATTTTGTTGTTGTGTTAGTTTACATTTTTCATAATGTCCATTTTCAACCGAGACTTTTTAGAAGCAGAGGATCATTTCTGCAGCTTATAGTTATCCACTTATTCTTTTTTCTTTTTTTTTAAAAAAATTTTGGTAGAAATAGTTATCCACTTCTTAAGGAAAGTGTATACGTACAAAATATTTTCTTTTCCTTTTTCTTTTCCGACAAAAGACCACCAGAGCCTGGGAGAATTTATTAACATTGTATGGTGGCCTAAGCCCAAAAGTGTCCCTCATTCATATTAGAAACCTACCGCAGTAGAATTTAATGTTCAAGGTTATTATCGTCCTTCGATAATTAATTTTTATGTCAGGGTCCCGCGAGAGAAGATAATCACCAACAACTTGCACTTTATTAATATTATTTAATGGAAAATTAAAACGTGGAAGAAGAAAAAAAAACAACTTGCACATAAAAAAAACTCAGACGTCCAACTGGCAGGAATCAATTGGAAGAATGACGTCAGCATAGTGATGTCATTTTTTTACTTCACTTGCCATTCGTCAGACAGGCAATGCCCTCTTGCACGTTCTCTGCAAGGCGCGTGCCAATCCTTCTCCCAAATCTTTCTTTCTTTCGTTTATTTATTTATTTTTTATTTTTATAATTGGACTTTCGTTAACCAAACAAAGATATAACTTTCTTTCGTTGTTTGCTCTTTTGCAATTGCACTGCCTAAAATTAAACTCTGGTATTTTTTTTCTTGAACTTCCATTCTATTAGTAATATCAGTTTTTGATTATTAGATTTAGTCAAAATCATATTAAATTAAAAAAATATATAAAACAGATAAATTCTGATACAAATATAAAAATTATGATACAAATCTAACGACTTAAAAATAAAAAGTTACCGGTAATCCATTTTTATAATGACTACCAGAGAAAATCTTTTTTTTTTTTTTAGTATGCCAACTTAATGCTACATATCTTATCTTATTTTATCAAAGTTAAGAAAACGAGGCTACTCTTACAAAAAAATCTAAACTAATATAATGCATGCAAAATGCAAGGATAAATTGAATCACAATTTCTTTGACATAATTTCATAAATATGCTTTATGTTAAAACTGTAAGTTTGGGTTGAGTTAAATGAGTCGGCCCAAAATGCTTCATTGTTGACTGGCTCAACACAAACATCCTCTTTTAATTTTTTTTTGAAATGGCTTATCTAATTACGAACCGGACCAGGCCGGCCCGGCCTTAGACCCGTTAGATTTTAGGGTTGAGCTTGACCGACCCTTTTTCTTTTAAGATTTACCCAATCAGCCAGATTTCCATTTGGGCTACTAGCCTCACCTTTATTGGAGAGCATAAAAATTTTAACTTATAAAAAGAAAACACCACATTCTTGTGTAGACTTTTTAACGAAAATTATTAGTTGTAAAGTAAAAATTAAGAGCCATTCAAAAAAAAAAGTAAAAAAAAAAGTGTTACCAAAAGAAAAGAAGGGAATTAAGGATTTATTTTACTATTGATAATGAAGGCTCTTTTAACCGTTTAATTAATTTTTAATTTATCAAATCTATGAGTGTGATTGTGCGAGTACTTTTATGTTACACATTATATATTTTTAACATGGTCACTCATAGATAATATCGGAGATAAATTAATTCAAGATAGCTAAAAGTGCCTTTACTATTGTTAGTAAAAAAGTTAAGCTTCCCTTTCACGAAAATTGATAAAAAGAAAAAAAAAAGAAAGCGAGACAATTTTTCTTTTTAAAATGTCTTATGAATTTCATAATAATTTTTAAAAAACTTTTATGGTTGCGTTTAAAAAAGTTAATTTCGATCAAAATTGCATCAAAATAATAATAAATAAACAAACAAAAACGACATAATCTAATACATATCCAACGACTCCAAGTTATTGTTAAGAAGTAGCCGGCCATTAAAGTATTTTTTTCATATCCTATGTAAAACTCTCATAACTTTTATTATATCCGTTCAAGGTTTTTATTTGAATATCTAATTCACGTTCTCTGAAAAATAATTTCTGACTGGTGCTAAAATTTAATTCCACCTGCACTCATTTAATGAAGGTTGAATCTCATTATTATCGCTAGTGTCAAGCATTAAAATATTTTTCTCCAATATTGTTGTGTCGTAATACATACATTTGTACGTATAACCAAAAAACAAGTTTTTTTTAAATGAAAAAAAGAAGTTAGTTGAAGCACGCGGAGTTGTTGACGTATGCTTATAACGCGCGTGGGGGTTGTTTAAGTACTGCCTCAATACCAGGA